TAAAAAAAAAAAAAAAAAAAAAAAAAAACCGAAGTCAACATTTCCTTATGTGTTACAATTGGAAACAGGCCGTAGCTGCTTCAACTGAAATCCAGCATTCCTTCCATGGTTGATGAGTTGTTGCCGAACTCGGGTTTAGACGTAAACGTGGATTTGGATGAGTTAAAGAAGAATGAAACTCTTCTTAGCTGATGATGATGATGATGATGCAATCCAATCAACAAGGAAAACTATTACTGTCCATATTCATTTCAATAATTTGAGCTTCTGTTCTTTTATATAAAAATCAATTTCCCCTCAACTTACTTTCAATTTCGCTACTACTTCCCCACACACATACATACCATAAAAAAAAAGAATTTCTATATATATATATATATAAAAGTAGATTACGCTCCACATTCATACACATATACATATAAAGTTTGATTGTTTAATCAATCTTTAAATTAGATTCAATTATCTCACCGAAAATAACTATGGAAGCTATATATTGATCTCGACATCACAACAAATCACTCTATTGTACCCAAGGATTTACGCAAGAACCAAAACATCTTATATCCAACAACTTTGAAAACAAAATCCAGGAAGCTCTTCGGTTAGTTCGCACTTCTGTAAGTGAAAGGTTCGGACTTTGCGCCTAAAGCATAAAGATAAAGGTTAGATTTTTAAAGACGGGTAACGTGAGAAATCTCTACTGGTTCACACGACAAGAGCACCAGTCGCCAAAAATCTCACAGTCAAAACCCACCCCAAAATCTGATTTTGCAGGAAATTCATCCGTTCGAGATAAAAGAGATAGGACATTTCAGATTTGTTCCCTAAATGGGTTTCATTTGTTGCTGCGTCTCGTCTCCTTCCGTCAGACCCAGAATTCTCTCGACCCATTTCTCCAAACAATCCTCTTCAGCATCTTCTTCCTTTTCGTCGATTCTCGCTCTCAGGCACGCCCGATTTCCGGACAAGAAAGCTAGGTTCTCGTTCATATTATCATCGTCTTCGATAATGGCGACTCCTATTCAATCTTCTTATTCTTCATCTTCCACTGTCGGTACGTGTTTCTTGCATTTCTGTTCCCTTCTATTAGGTTTAAGCTATTATTCAATTCGAGGGCTTTGTTAGAAGGTTTTTAGGATCATCAAACGTGAAAATTTTGGATGCTTTCTGCAGAGATATGTTCTTTGTTGTTGAATCTCATGTCCTGCCTTCCTCCGCTATTTGTTGAGTTTCTTCTGTTGTGTTTAATTGTTGCAGTGCTAAGACAGCATTGCAGCTCAGTTTCTTGTTGTGCTTGTGGAGTGAACTATAAATTTTCCAATGTGCTAAGATTCATAGGAGATGAACTTGCATATCTGAACAAGTATTAGCATGTCTGACTTTAATGTGGAGTTTGGCCTTTGATACTTTATGGCTGATTTGATCATGTTGGCTAGAAACAAGGATGAGAAGCCAATAACGGGGTACTGTCTTTGTTGTACTGCTGCTTTCAAATGCGGATCTTATTGTCTTTTGTGGCCTTCTTTGGGTTTTGATGAAGGTGAAACCAATGAAAGAGTGGATGCTGAGTCTAGTGTTTCAGTCGGGGCAAAGGATTTGCTGATTGTTGGACCAGGTGTTCTTGGACGATTAGTGGCAGAAAAATGGAGAGAGGTATAGTTTCTGTGCTACTTTACTTCAGGGGACATTGAGCTTGTTTCTTTCTTACATGGTTGTTTTGTCCTTACTTATGTGGGTTCTCTGCTGAAGCAATCTGATCTGAAGTTTGAGAAATCGTGGTTAGTTATGTTTAAAGTACGTCTTTCACATAAATCTTGAGTTACACATTCTGGCTGATGATGTTTTATGCCGATCAAAGTGTTATCCACTGTTTTCTAAGTGTAAAAGTGGGAAATTAACGGGCAGATGAGAATCTTACTTCCTCAGATTCATTTGCTGGAAGATTTAACATAAGCTTTATTTTTTTGCTCCTAGATTCCATTTAACTTTCGCCAAATAAAAAATTCTTTACATGGATATCATGTTCATTTTCACCATGGATTTTATGGTTGTCTGGTTTATGTTTTTTTTTTGTATCTATTCATATGACGGTTGCTGACTTTGTGGATTTCAAAAATGGAATTGGGAGGAAATATTGAGGAGACATACTGGTTGTCTCTCCTTTGTGCTCAAAGTTCCTAATAAAAACCATGTTTTGGTCATATTGCTGTTAGAGTAAGAGGTTTCATTTGTCGATCAGGAGCATCCAGGTTGTCAAATCTATGGGCAGACCGTGACGACAATTCATCACAACGAGTTGGAGAAATTGGGTATCAGACCATCTGTTAAAGGAACCGCCTTTACGGACAGGTTCCCTTTTGTGATCTTTTGTGCTCCCCCTTCACAATCCTCAGACTATGCAGGTGATCTCAGGTAATAAGAAATCACTTCCAAAAATTCAAATATTCAGTTGAAGCCTTTATTCAATTACATTAAGTTTTGCTACCGAATACCAGAAAAAAAAACATGTGGCTTCTTGTGCAATTAGTTTTACTATCTCGTTGTTTCTAGGCAGAAGAAGTGCAAAGCTAACTTAAATTGCTGTCTAATGGGTTGTCTATTATGCTAAATTTACGAGATTGCAATAATAAATTTCTCTTCCCTTGATCCAACCATTTCTTACATGACTCTATGCTCATGTTATGGATGACGGGTGGATCAGGTTGGCCACGTCAAACTGGAATGGCGAGGGATCATTCTTATTCACATCTAGTTCTGCACCTTATGATTGCTTCGATAATGGGGAATGCCACGAGGTTCATCTTTATGCACGAATATATCTCTACTTGTGATTTTCTGTGGATGTTGTCAAAATAAACAGAGATAGTAAGTTTTCTATTTCGTAATTATTGAACTCTGTCAGCTGAAACATTGGGATATTTGCTTATTAGTTTGGGCTAAAGGTCTCAGAATAATTAGAAACTTTGAAAATTCAACTATATAACCATTAATCAGATGGCGAATGATTATGATATGCAGCAGTATACTTCGACCTTCTTGACTATTCACTTTTCAAAAAATGAGAGGAAGCATTAGCAACATGTCAAATAGATATACTTGCTTCATGACCTGTACAAGCATATCTTATGTTGGTTTATCTATTGGGCAGGACTCTCCAGTTGTGCCACTTGGCAAGAGCCCAAGAACCGACGTGCTTTTGAGAGCTGAGAAAGAAGTTCTGGAACATGGAGGGACTGTCCTTAGATTGGCAGGGCTTTACATATCCTTTCTTATAAAAATGAAGTTGATGTAGCATCATTGTTTCATTATGCAGAGTTTAGAAAATTAAATGCTTAATTTTTTGTTTTCCTTAGCCTTTTGTACACAGCTGATAGAGGAGCACATACGTACTGGTTGAGTAAGGGGACAGTTGATGCTCGTCCCGACCATATCCTGAATCTCATACATTATGAGGTAAAGATTGCTTTCACATTGTACCGAGACCATGAGCTTGAACATCATTTCCCTACGATTTACATCATCTTCAGATCTATCGAAGATTGGCATCCCATTTTTAGAATTTCATATCGTGTCCTGCAACAGGATGCTGCATCTCTGGCAGTTGCAATCATGAAGAAGAAACCTCGAGGTCGGATTTTTGTGGGCTGTGACAACCATCCTTTGTCAAGGTATGGCCGTGTTCCATTCACATGATCTGTTCATAGAACATCAGGGTTTTTTCTGAATGAGTTGATCCTTACATTATCGAACTTGTCTTCTCAGGCAAGAGGTGATGGACCTGGTTGCCCAAAGTGGTAAATATGACAAGAAGTTTGAGGCTTTCACAAGTAAGCTAAGCTTTTCAGACACTATATATCTTCTGTCTCTTCTGGCTTTTCTTATGCATACCCCATATAATGGGAACTGCCCTGAATAATCAGAAGAATATTGACTCAATTGTTCCCCACATATTTCCGATGTGGTACTCTAACAATACCGCCCCCTTTAGACAGCGACGACCACGGCGCTCGTGGCTTCTCGGTCGCTGGCGGCTACGCACCCTTTGTGCTCCTCTCCCGACCGTTCCTCTCCCGCCGTGTCGTCTGCATGTCCGAGGATCGGTTGGCTCTGATACCAATTTGATAGAACCCACCCATTAATAATGGGCCCAACAAAGTCTCAAAGCCCATGGGTAGAACTCACCCCAAAAACTAGCTTGTTGGGGGAGGGTGTCCATGCTATTATATTGACTCAATTGTTCCCCACATATTTCCGATGTGGGACTCTAACAAAGTTCTCTTCCGGTCTTCTAAGCATTTTAAGCTCATGGGGGCTTCAATAAATTTGCTTCGCAGGCAACAATGGTCCATTAGGGAAGAAGATGAACAACTCAAAAACAAGAGCCGAAATTGGATGGGAGCCGAAATATCCAAGCTTTGCTCATTTCCTCGGGGTATCAAAGTAATCTGTTGTATCAAAGTCCTTACATTTTCCTTCCTTGTGATGAAAGTGCTTGCAGTTTTGTTCCTGTAGGGTGTCTGGACATATACCGAGAAAAAACCCACAAGGGCAATGCGCTTGTGGTTATTGGTGATTACCAGAGAATTTTAAGTACCATGAAAATGGTTTTCCTGAGACAAAAGTCTAGGCAAAGTAAATCCTGCGTGTTCTGTTTTCCTGAATAGCATTTACAGACAAGCTCTCCAGGTTATGGAGAAGTCAGAGATCAACCAGATCAAGGAAAGAAACAAACCCAGATTACTTGTGTTGAATATGAACCAAATTCAATAGATTAAACCACCAAAAATTCGTGGAAAATCCCAAAATGTATCATCAGAAAATAAAAATGTATCTGAATGAACAAGATAGAGAAAAGTCATCTGACAAGACGATGCGATTTTGAGAACTTACGTCTTAGGGTCGAGGGCTGTAAGAAAACTGATCCGTTCATGTTGTTCAAACTGATCCACGTTAACGACAAAATGATTGGAAGTTTCGGTTAAGAATACCGACCCGGACAAGAAAAAACACAAGCTTTTTTTTGGCTGCCGCTGGTAGTTTTCTTCAATCTCTGCACTGCTGCGATCAGTTTCGATCCAGTGATTTGATGGTACAGAGCTCATGAAACAGGAAGAAGCCTCGTGCCCAGATCACTTTCATGTGTCTAAACTCATAAGGAGTCATCTTTCAAGAGGATCACCAGGCAAAGCTCTGGTTTTGTACGGAAGAATCCGCCGCGGAGGAGTATATTTCCCGGGCTGGGTTCCTTTGCTTCTTAAGGCTTGTTCCTGCGTTCCGACTCTTGTCCATGGGAAACTATTGCATTCTGAATCTATGAAATCCGGCATCTGTTCTGATGTCATGGTCGGAAGCTCGCTGATCAATATGTACGGTGAATGTGGTTGCACACTGGATGCCCGCAAGGTATTTGACGAAATGCCTGACAGAAATGTCGCGACTTGGAACGCCATGATCGGTGGGTATATGAGGAATGGAGACACAGCGTCGGCGTCTAGTCTGTTTGAAACGATGCCGATTAAGAGAAATACTGTGACTTGGATCGAGATGATAAAGGGGTTTGGGAAGAGAGGAGAAACCGCTAAAGCTAGAGATTTGTTTGAGAGGATGCCTCTCGATGTAAAAAATGTGAAGGCTTGGGGAGTGATGCTTGGAGCTTACGCTAGCAATGGAGAAATGGAGGCTGCCAGTAGGGTTTTTGAGGACACACCAGAGAAGAATCCCTTTATTTGGTCGTTAATGATTTCCGGGTTTTTTAGGATAGGAGAAATGCATGAGGCTACAGCTATCTTTGATCGAGTTCTTGAGCGTAATTTGGTGATTTGGAACTCGTTGATTTCAGGCTACGCACAAAACGGGTATGCTGAAGAAGCCATTGATGCGTTCTATAAGATGCAAGAAGAAGGTTTTGAACCTGATGAAGTGACAGTTTCGGGCGTCTTATCTGCTTGTGCACAATTGGGTCGTCTGGATGTTGGTAAAGAAGTCCACTTTCTGATTACCCGCAAGGGAATCGAGTTTAACCAGTTTGTTTCAAATGCATTGATCGATATGTATGCTAAATGTGGAGACCTAATCAACTCGAGATTGGTATTTGGGTCGGCAAGCCAGAAAAATGTAGCTTGTTGGAATTCTATGATCTCATGCCTCGCCATACATGGAGAAGGTCAAGAAGCTTTGGAGATCTTCAGGACAATGGAGAATTCAGACAAAAAGCCTGATGATATCACATATCTGGCCGTACTCTCTGCCTGTGTTCATGCAGGCTTTCTGGAGGAAGGCCTAAAGATATTCTCTGAGATGGAGGAAAAGGGTGTGAAACCAAATGTGAAGCACTTTGGCTGTCTGGTTGACCTCTTGGGACGATCTGGGAGACTGAAAGAGGCTTATGGTTTGGTAACACAAATGCCTCTGAGCCCTAACGACACGGTTCTGGGAGCATTGCTTGGAGCCTGTGGGATCCATTTGGATACTGAAATCGCGGAGAAAGTGATGAAGCAGTTGGAGACTGAGAGAAGCAAAACAGGCAGTGGGAGGGAAACCCACTTTGTGTCGGTCTCAAACGTTTATGCATATGCAGAGAGATGGCAGACAGCTGAAGAGTACAGAAGGGCAATGGAGAAAAGCGGCGTTCGGAAGGTTCCAGGGCATAGTTCACTTATTTCGACCTGATTGTCGGTAGATACAGAGGCATTAGTTCACTTACCCAAGTGTTCGTCATCATCCATGAAACTCAAAAACGTCATTCTATTGCAGACAGTATTTGTACAAGAATGTCTCCTAATATGCAGTGAAGGCTTTACTAATGATTACACATAAGATGCTTACAGGTCAACGTCAACTGCATTGCAAACAGGACCAACTGGATCGCAAACAGGATGTAAAAAGGGCTGGCAAGTCCGGACCAGTTCTGTCTTGCTGTCATAATTTTTAAATCCAATCCCCTTAGTTCGTCTTAGATCGCAAACAAACGAATCGGTTTACGAATCAAATATCTAACTAAAAAAAAATATCATTTAAATTTTGTTAATCATCGGCAATAGATTAAATGTTTCAAAACAAGAAAAAATGGAGATTATGAATAAATCATTCCTATTTGTAAATCTGATTCCATAATAAGAGAAGGCACCGCCACACAAGAACCAAAAAAAAAAAAAAAACTGATAAAGGCATCAATTGCCCTCAAATTTTGCAGCTTTCACGGAAATTATCGAAATCCGAACCGAGATTCAAGCAGGAAAGTGGATTCATGGGTAACGTGGGTGGGGGGAACGACGACTAAAAACCCAATGGCAGAATTTTGCAGTCCAATTATCAAAATAAAGAACACGTCAACGTCAACTGGAAAAACCCCATTGTGATTGTTCGTCGTCGTCTCCCTCCTCCAGGACCTGTGGCTGTGACTTGTGAGCTCTTCCTCCACGACAAATTTATTTCTTAAAATTTTATTAAATAATAATTTCCAAGAAATTAGGCCGGGTTGCCCGACCCGGATACGACCCAAAAAAGTGGCCCCATAGAGTAAAGAACACGCCGAGCAAAAAATTAAATTGGGGCATTCCGAGAATTGAACTCGGGACCTCTCGCACCCTAAGCGAGAATCATACCACTAGACCAAATGCCCTTACGTATACTGTTATAAGTCAGTTATTTAAATCTTTTATGGAAAATTTCCCTCCAAAATTTTTCCCTCCTTAAGAACCCTAACAAGAATCTCTCTCATTCATTGTGCGCTTAAATACTGTGTTTGGCCATTTTCTCTCAACTTGAAACTTTCGGCAAATTATTGTCCTAATTTCGTGAGTATCCTCCTTTTCACTTCTCAATCGCTTCGAATCGGGTTGGTGTTTTTCCGATTCCCGACTTGTTGGCATATGAATCGTAATGGCTAAAGGAAAGAACAACTTTTTCGAGCATCAAGAGACCCAACGTATTGAAACTCCTCCTTCATCGCCGTCCGGTAATTTCGTAACTTCATTGCTCTCTAGGGTTTTCTCTTCTGCGAGTTTTCATTCTCGTCCTTCATCTATTGCCTTTACGATCTCCCGGAGATCTCGCCTTCGTTTAGCATTTCTCTATACGAAAGTGCAAATTTTTAGCAGTTCCAATTTATAAGATTCGGGTTTTACTCCGAAAAGCACCGGCTTTCTGAAATTTTTTCATTATTTTTTGTTTTACTGTAACTTTCAAAGTTTATGTGGTTAGTTCCAGTGTGATTATGGTTCTGGGGAGAAATATGCTTCCTGTAGTCATTAGTTTGTGTATTCATCCGAAAATTTTGTGATTTTTTTAACCTTTTACAATCATGGATTTTTTAATGGGTCAATCGGTATGAGTTGTTTTTTAATCTTTGTTCATCTCAAATGTCAGGTAAAGACAAGGATCATGGGAGTGGCGATATGTTAGGTTTTATGCAGGACACTGTTTGTTTTGATGACATTGCCTCGTCAGGTGAACAAATGGAGGAGACTCAGGTCATGGACATTGGATGTGAGGATGAAGGACTTCCTCATTATGATGAAACTCAAGCACTGCCTTTGTGCTCTGAAACTCAAGAAGCATCTTTTGCGGATGAAAGGCAATGGCTAAAAGCTTCTGATTGTTTGGCTACGCAGTTGTTGGACCATTCTGATGATGAAATTGCTGCCGATAGTGATGTTGCTGTTACCGATGTTTTGGTGGGTGACAACGAGCTCTCTGATGGCGACTCACTGAGTAGTGGTAGAAATCTGTTTTCGGACAAAGATAGTATACAGCCTTCTTCTGAGAAGATTAATTCAACAGATTTCTCTGATGCTCTGTCGAAAGAACCAAAAAATTCTGGTGAGTTTCTGTTTAAAGTTGGTCAATCATTGGTTTTTGAGAGAGTGAAATCTTATAATTTGTTTCTCGTATGAAATCCTGTTGTTTTTAGTGATTAAGGATTCAAGTTAGGCAATTGTAGGTTATTTCATATTTCATAGGTCAAAAGGTGTCGAATGTTATCTCTGTGCATCGGAATTTCATAGCATAAGGATATCAACTTTTCTTCTTCAAATGATTGAGGGGAACTATGCATGTTTCCTTATTTATACTCAGTAAATCCTGTAACAATCTTCATGTAACCTTTTTTGTATTCTTTGAATTTTATTCAGTCAGTAGTCTCCTTATATTGCTGGAGTAGTGTTGTAGTCAACATATGTTAATTTGTATGCTTTCTAGTGATGATGACATCATTTTCTATCTGTTCTCCAACGGTTCTTGAGAAGATTTTGGAGCTTGCTTTCTTTAATACTTTTGTTTGATTCTTGTTTTTTCTATCAGGAAATGTTCCTAAGTTTACTTCAATTCGCACAGCAGCTTTTCGTGCCACCGTTCTGGCAGCTCGTGTAGCAACCCCAAAGCAGCCCAACAGTGACTCACGTTCAATCCTAACCAATTGTCATTCGTCTGAACGATCTGGTAAAGGAGCCGCAAATGATGCCAGTGCAGAAAACAGTGTTGGGGAGGAAGTGGATCGGCAATGTACTCCCAGTATTTCCGGTGAGAAAGCAAATGAATTACGAATGGGAAACAAAACAGCAAGGAAGCTCTTTCCTGATGATTCACCCAAAGAAACAAACTGCAACATTGTCGATTTTGATAATGAGCTAGCAGGGTTGAGTTATATTGATTCCCAAGAACCTGGGGAGTTATCACAGGCCAGTGCTTTTAACATTGTTGAGAAGCTCATCAATGATCCCTTTTTGAAGTCTGAAGTTGAAGATGACCATGGAAAGAGAAGAGATGAAATGTCAAAGTTCGTTTCAAGTGTTATAGGGCCACAGGTGTTGGCAAAGAAATTCAATTGCAGAGGTGGAGCTGTTGGAATTGACATTTTCAACTGGGATGATAACCGAGAGGATGAAGGAGGCGGGGAATTGTTTTCCAGAAGAAAGGAAGAGTTCTTTGGATCTTCAACCATGCCTAGAGGACTCATAGGAAAATCGATATGTGGAAATGACGTAAGACTTGTAAATGGGGCGGATAAAAGAACAGCTCACTCTGATTCCAGACTCTTGCGAAACAGTCTGATAAAGAATGGAAGGAAGATCAGGGCAGCTAGAAAAGAAATTAAAAAGAATATTGTCAATGAATTGGATAAAGTTTCCAACGGCAATAACACTAAAACCTCTGATGTGCACGAATTGGTAGATGTGGGTCCTGATACACAAATGGCTGCTGAAGCTATAGATGCGCTTCACCTTGGAGATGGCAGCGAGCTCGATGCTGATCGAAATGCTCTAGTGGGAAAGAAACTCTCCCAAGGAGTTGTTACCAGACAATCCAAGAGAAGGAAGAGGGTTGAGGTCATGGAGAAAGATGTAGAACCATTAGTAGCAAGAACCAAGAAGGCTAGATCAATTCCTACTAAGGCTGGAGAGAAGAATGTGAAAGGTTCTCTAGACATTGATGAACCCGTTGTGTCAGGTACGGGGAAGAGAAGAAAGAAATTATTAAATGAATCATGTGATTCTAAGCTACTTAATCAGCCAAATAGGGGCAGATCTGGGGTATCAAGCTACCCCAAGCGAAGAAGGTCAGCTCGAATTTCCAGAGGTCATCTCAATGAGTCTGGAAGGAATTCAGATTCCGCTTTTGATACCCCAATGAAATCCAAGATGCTTCCGAAGAATGTATCACCTATATGCATGGGTGATGAGTATCTGATAAAATCGCTCAAGGGTTCAGCAAAATCGATTTGCTTAAGGGAAGCCCGTGGCTTAATTTCGCCATCTGCAGAACCGATTCTTGAGTCAAAAGCTACACGGAAGAGGAGAGACTTGGGGAGCATTCGAGTCCTGTTCAGCCAGCACCTTGATGAAGATGTAACCAAGCATCAGAAAAAGGTATAATTTCTGGTTTCAAACAACAAATTCAGTTGTCTTGACTATATTACCTCATGTTGTGATTTCTTTCCCACTAGATTTTGGCCCGCTTTGGAATAGCCGAAGCATCCTCCATGAAAGAAGCAACACACTTCATAGCGGATAAATTTGTGCGCACAAGGAACATGTTAGAGGCTATCGCTTCCGGCAAGCCAGTAGTCACTACCCAATGGCTCGAGAGTATTGAACAAGTAAACATTTATATTGATGAGGACCCATATGTATTAAGAGACTCGAAGAAGGAGAAGGAGTTTGGTTTTAACATGAGTGTTTCTTTGGTTCGAGCACGCCATCATCCACTTCTACAGGTATCTATCTAATATGTTTTGGTTATATTCCTGTTTCTTTTATTCCCTGTTGTTCCTTTTTGGCTCATTATTTCTTCAATACTTTCAGGGAAGAAGAGTCTTTATCACTCCAAACACAAAGCCCGGTAAAGACACGCTCACAACTTTGGCTAAGGCAGTTCATGGACAGGTACATTTTCTTGTCTTGAACATTATAATAACTCAAATATTACTCGGTGTACTGTTCTTATACATCAGTCCAGTTGATCTGTATTATTGATGTCTTCGTCTCAAAGTATTAGTTTTTCTCTAATCACTTCCATATTTGCTTCATCCCTTTTGTCTTAGAGTTGTAGTGTTGTTTTTTCTTTATATTCACATTCCCAGTGTATTGACATGAATCATCCACTATCCTTGCATGTGCATAAAAGCTAGAACGATTTAACGATGTTCTTTCCTTTCCCAAACTGATTTATCGTGAAAATAAATGGCAGGCTTTTGAGAGGCTTGGAAGATCTGGCTTAAAGGATGATAGGGTCCCTGATAATCTTCTCATCTTATCATGTGTGGAGGATTTTGATATTTGCGTCCCGTTTCTAGAAAGAGGTGATTTATGATTGCCTGCTCTCTGTAACTTCTCCAAATTTACCAGTTGTTAGATTTTATGTGAGTTTTTCTTGATTTTATTCCCCCCTCAGGCGCTGAGGTTTATAGCTCGGAGTTACTGCTGAATGGGATAGTAACTCAGAAATTGGAGTACGAAAGGTTAGTATTATTATTGAAGTGAAGTTCACAAATATGGAATTTGACAAACATAATATGACAAGAGAAGCACGACGTAAGCAAAACTGAAGTAATCTATATTTACCTACTGGAACTCATCAATTCAAATTGCATCATGAACGTTAGACTGGAGAGTTGTGTCCTTTTCGAGGTGTAAATAGCAAAAGCTGTTGCAATCTTGTAAAACCTATCATTTGGAGAGTTTCAGATTTGGAAATCAAGGAAACCACAAAATCAAAAGTATTTTGTGTTGTTTTCAATGTGTGAATCATCAAAAACCTCTACAATCTTGTAAAACTCATAAACCTGTTTTTCATATGTAACCTTCAGCATCAGTTTTTCTTGTTGATGCGTTTTTTATCAGCTCTCATGCTTGTATTCTCATGAACTGCCAGGTACCGTCTCTTTGTGGAACATGTGAAGAGAACACGTTCCACAGTATGGATTAGGAATGACAAAGGTGAATTCCAACCCCGTCCCAGGTAAAAGAAGGCAGCGTTTCATTAGTTTGGTCGAGTCTACAGCATAGGCGATGTAATAATCTGCATTTACTACAGAGTCTGCCCAATAGGTTAGAAATGCTATTTGTACCTATAGTAGTTGTCTTCTTACCCCTGTAAAATTCTTCTAAGTTACAGAGAGTCTCTCACATGTCCTGTGACCTTTGGAAACCTTAGATATTCTTTTGTTAGCTTTGCAAATTGCACTCTTTCTTCAACTGGTTCAGATGAATACTGGAAGATTATCATCTCTGCTCTGTCATTGCAATACTGAGTTTCACATTGTGAGTTTCCAGAATTGGGAACTGTTCTTCAATAGATGTATGTTGTCTTCGTTGAGGAATCTAAATTCTGATTCAAAGATTAGACGAAGAATGCCCAGGAACCAATCACCCACAAATGACAACACTATGTATTATACAAGATGTTTTTTTTATAGGTTTTACAGTCTGTTTGATCTCTATCTTCATTGTCTTCTGCAACATCTTTTGTCCAACTCTGACAGTTACAGAGGATTGATCTTCTGATACTTCAACTAACTCTGGTCTAAATTCGTCAGAACCTTATTTTATTTCCTTTCAAACAGAGCGAGTAACGCTCTGTTTTTTTTTTATTTGCTCACATGGTTAAAGAATGTCTCGGTTCAGTGTTGAAGAATATGCTTGTATACATCAGCAGATCTGGTCTTCGACCGTTACCACCTTCAAAACAATGCTTCTTTACGGATGCCGAGTAAGTTCATTACAGTGGCTGCAATGTGTGTCGGCATCAGACCAGCCTCTGCCAGTTGATCCACTGGCGATCCATGTTCGATGTATCTGTCTGGAAGCACCATCGGTCTCCACTGTGACGACAGATACGTACCGAAAGAAAGAGGTAAGAAACTTGCCCATAGCATCATATGGTATATATGTGTGTGTATAAATATATGTACCTTGAGTTTGCCATCAAGAAGGCCATCAAGTGCAAGGAACTGTACTACATGAGATCCGAACCCGCCGATCGAACCTTCTTCGACTGTAATCAGAACCTCGTGAGACTTAGCGAGGCTTCTGATTAGATCACGGTCCAAGGGCTTGCAGAATCTCGCGTCTGCAACCGTTATATTCACGTCCCTATCTTTGAGCATGGAAGCAGCTGCTACACAGCTCTGAACCGCCGAGCCATAGCCCAAGATCGCAACCCTCTCGCCTTCCATCAGTATTCTACCTCTCCCTATCTGAAAAAGACATCAAGATATAGGTATTACTTCTTTACTGTATCAGAGATCACTTGAAAAAGCTTGAGCATTTCATCATATATATATATATGATAAATTCTATTCTCAAGACAGTGTTTGATGTTTGATGTCTGGCAAAAGCTTGGAAACTTACCTCAAGAGGAACACCTTTATTGCCGGGGGGAAGAGGGACACCGATGCCATTGCCTCTCGGGTAACGGAAGCAAGAAGGACGGTCGTCTAAAGCTGCAGCGGTTGCAACCATGTGGAAAAGCTCAGCCTCATCAGATGGAGCCATCACTACCATGTTCGGAAGACATGCCATAAATGTCACGTCAAACGCTCCACAATGCGTCGGACCATCCGCCCCCACGAGTCCTGCCCTATCCATCGCGAATCTCACGGGCAATTTCTGAAGATCGACATCATGTATCACCTGCAGAGGAAATCCCGCCCAGGTCAGATCAAGATTAACTCGGAAACATTAAGGTTTTGTCAGTCGGAAAAGCTTGATGATATGAACTTGCCTGGTCATAGGCCCTTTGCATGAAAGATGAGTAGATTGCACAGAAAGGCTTAACGCCTTCGCAAGCTAAGCCCGCAGCGAAGGTAACCGCATGTTGTTCCGCTATTCCGACGTCGAAACATCTTTCGGGGAAGCGACTCTGGAAGAGATTCAACCCTGTTCCGCCTCCCATGGCGGCATGAATGGCTACGATGTCTTTGTCTTCTTCTGCTTCTGCAATCAAAGCCTCTGCGAAATACGTCGTGTAAGACTGAGTCTTGGCAGTTGTTTTGAACTGTTTCCCGGTTGCTGGATCGAACTTTACAACTCCTGAAAGAAAGGAAGAAGGACGTTGACCATATGAACGCCACGAGAAAACGTGGTTGCGAGAACTATTCATAGTTAGGATTAAGGACAAATTGTGTATCTACTAGTGGTGGACACGAATCGAATACTCGAGATTCGGGTTGTCTGAAACTGAACCGGATAGCTATGATACTATTCGATTTAGCGCCGCTATCCGAAATTTCCAGGTTTCACTATCTGAATTCGATTTTCGGATTTTTTTCACACTATATAGCCCCGGTCTCATCTCATATAGTGTCGGGTATTCGAAAATTTGGATTATTTTTCCAAGTCCTGGTGTGGATAAAGCTATTTACCATGGTATTTGTCGGCGGCTCTCTCGGCATAAGGATAACCCCGACCTTTCTCGGTCACGACATGGATAAGAACGGGTCCGGTTGTTCTGGTACTCTTCACTTCATTCAGGATGGTCACTAAATCATTTACGTTGTGACCATCGACCGGACCTATATAATACAGACCGAGTTCTTCAAACATTGTAGCTCCCGACCCGCTTATCATTCCCCGAGCGTACTCGTCGACCTTTGCTGCCAATTGGTGCGTCCGCCCACCTATCTGCTTCGTCACACCCTGTAAGAAACACACAATAAAATGTTTCAGACTTCACGAAAATTTCCGGGTTTTGTAAAATGCAACGGTTCCGCTCCAACTTCTTCAACCCGAGAACTTCACTTCATCACTTGTGTTCTTGATTTCGATATTACTGAAGACAAAAGGCGGAGTACTTGCCTTGGCGACTTCCCTCAACTCTCTGAGGGGTCGGTTAGATTGCAACCGACTAAGAGCACTGCTCAGTGCACCGACGGGAGGGGCCGGTCCATCCAAAGTAGCCGTTGGCAACGAGACTTGCTTGTTGTCGTTGAGGATTACAATCATGTTGGAGTCCAAATATCCGGCATTATTCAAGGCTTCGTAAGCTTGCCCGGCTGTCATGGCGCCGTCTCCTATAACCGCAACCACATTGCTGTTCCTCTCCTTTAAATCCCTTCCCACTGCCATTCCTGTCGGCAAACCGGGACTGAGTACTATGTTTTGGTTCTGTATTATATCCATTCTCGCATATATATATATAAGGAAATTTGCTATAAAGGGTATAAAATTCACAAAGGGCCTGAACCCAAAGCCGAGAATTCTTCACTAAGACAGGTTTAGATTCAAATATGGGTTTTTAAGGTAATAACTAGTGAGTGTTTTAGCCTAAATTATCAGAGGTGACAAGTTAGAACATCACTGTTTTTTTTTTCCTGTTAACAAGGCAAGAAACCAGAAGAAGTACCCAAGCCTGCAGAAATAGTCGTGGAACTGTGCCCCGTGCCAAAGCAATCGTGTTCGCTCTCTGCTCGCTTGGTGAAACCCGAGAGCCCGTTCGTCTGCCTAAGCGTATTCATCTTCTCTCTTCTCCCCGTCAGAATCTTGTGAGGATAAGACTGTTTCCAGACAAGAGAACTTCAGAGTTAGACACCGTTTTAAGGAAGGGACGAGATGAGACGCTACAAGCGATGAGATAACCAACCTGATGACCGACGTCCCAGAGGATCTTATCCTGAGGAGTGTTGAACACGTAATGAAGAGCCACTGTTAGCTCGACGACTCCGAGGCTCGACCCCAAGTGTCCACCCGTTTTCGAAACGTTGAATATGACGTCGGATCTTAACTCATCAGCAAGTTGCTTGAGTTCCTGTGTCAGTGCCAAATCCCAAAGAAGCATAAGCCTTTCCAATCATTTTGCGATAGATGGCGGGAGAAAGAGAACAAGGTATGGTTCCTGATTGTTTGGAGGGACCAAACAGAGATAAAACCGATGTTCTTGGTCGATGATATATTTTACCTTGACAGAAAAGTTTTTCATGTGGATTGGGTAATTGATTGTGTCCAGTAACGGAGTTGGTTGTCTATTGGAGTAATATTCACCCTTCTCCGCAAGCGAGGCATAGACTCGAGCCGGCTTTCTTTTGGACTGTCCAAACAAAAAATCGAAGCACAAAAACGAAGAAGCAGGTTGCTGTCATGGAATTACAAACGTTAAACACAAAGTTACTGACATAAACGCGCACGAAAAGAACCCGAACCCGACAGATTATGTACACCCAGTTTCACATAATTGCGACAAGTTTGGTAATAAACTGGCATCTGAAGAACTTTTTTTAGATTCTTTAGAATGAAGTGGTTAATACATCTGGAGTTTGACAAAATGAACAAAACCGCTGAAAAGTTTTCTTTTTTTCTTGTCAGATTAAAATGTCATGTGACAATGCCATGTTTGCTCTCTAATCGAGATAGAAAAGGAGTCAAATTTACTTGAACTCCAGCAAATATGAACTAAACCCATTATTCTATCCACGATTTAGCCAAATGGGTGATCCCAAAGTTTACAGAAAGGTCATTATTTTATGGCCTAAAACAAAGAAACCGGAAAAAAACCAGCAACGGTAAAACCCAGCAATCTGTAAACTCTACGTGGATCTGCATGTCATCTAACTGATGATCTTTTAACCTTCTTACATCTGTAATGACTTCAACCAACGAACGGAAATGCGCAAAAAAAAAAACAAAAGAAGGAGGAATCTTACATGGGTGTTGGTGTGTCTCGGGGATAAAGATGGAAGATCAGTTGAAAATAACGAGGAAGAGTACAGAGATGTCGACTTGTATGAATCTGTTGGTGTTCCTCTGCTAATGTAAGAGGGGAAAGCAAATGCAGATAGAGCCATCTCTTAGAATTTCCTCCACGAGAAGAAACCCAGAAAGAGCTTAGAGAGAGAGAGAGAGAGAGAGAGAGAGAGAATGGCTCAAGACACTTGTGAAGGAGAGAGTACCGCCCTATTTATAGGAAAAATAATCTTGAAATTCACTAACTAAACAAGAAAGTTAACACATTTAATACAACGACGAGATGAAAGTGGAGAGGTGGCAGTCATGGTGGAGGAGAGAGAAACAATGGCGGAAGAGGCAAAAGACAGACAACCAAGTCAACTACATATCATGTAAAATGTATTGTCCAAGCATATATGTATATTATGATATATAGTCATATAATGCCTGCTTATATTTATTACACAGATTTAACTTATTTTAATTGGACCACGTCACCCAAAAAAAAATCTAACTCTTGGTTAGATAGGTGTAAAACGTTTCCATTTATATAAATAAATACTTATCTCATTAGCTAATCTAAAAAAGGGAGATAAGAAAACGAAAAAGTAATTATTATCATATCTGCTCAAATGAGTAATTATCTAAATGCATAGATTTCCTCCATAAGATAAGACAGACTTCAATTCTGCAACCAAATTAGTATTTTTTTTAACTATACGAAATCATATTACTGTACTTAAAAAATAAATAGTATAATTGTTGGAGGAAAATAAAAATGAATAAACAAACCAAATACGTATTTGATACGATGATTTCAACTTCGTATTTTGCATGAATCTGTGTTCTTGATATGACTTTGACTCTATAACATGTATGAAAGGCAGAGAATCCGGATATGATTTTAAGACATGCGATCACTTTTCTAAAAACGTTATTTCATTCATACCGGATAAATGTGATTACATGAATACACTTTGAAATACAATGAAGGTTTAATGATTGTGATTTATCCTTACGAGAATGATCATACAAAAACTTGTTTATGAAGATGAACACAACCCTTTTTTTTATTGAGTTTACAAGAACAATCAAAAGGAACACTCAAAATATCTCAAAAAATGAATCTTTTTTCGTTTCACAACTCATTCTGACGTTTTTAGTTTAGAAATACTAAAAGACATCATCAAAAGTTGTAAAAATCTGGAAAAGTTTTCATGCAAAAAATCTCATATATTTATGTTCTTACAAACTGACACGGTCCGAGTTATATTTGACTCGGACCGAATTACATCTTAACTCTCCAACATATTCATAATACATATACATATGAATTTCATAAAAAATTATTCCAATCAACCATTTATTTTGAAATATCCAACAATAATATCATGCAAATGATCTATAGTAGTAAAAATATTCAATTGATTTAGGTTTTGAATGATTAGAGTTTTTGAAGTTTTTAGAATCCAAAAATCACAAAAATTATCATTTAAGTTTTGATAAAATTATTTTTTCTAAAAAGTTGAAAAGCCATTTTGGTGAAAAAATCAATGAAAAACCAAAATCTACATTTTTTTTTGTTTACAAATATTATAAAATCCAAAAACAAAAACCAAAAACTAGAATTTTATAACTAAAACCAAAAATTCAAAATAAAAATCATCCCCATTCAAAACTTTAATATTTTATTTCTCCACACTATTTTTATACTTAACATGATTATTTTCGTAAATTGTATCTTCAAAAAAAAATTGAACTAACACCATATTTTTCTATATTTAAAACCAATAGAATTCGGGATTATACAGTCGTGTGTAACCGAATATATTTTTAACATTCGAAATTCAAGATTTCGAGTTCAGATTCTAAAATCTAAATTTCATAATATTTAAATTCATATTCAAATACCCTAATTTTTTTTTGAATATTCTAATTATGGTATCCAGTATCCACCCAAACAAATTGACATCCATCAAATCACATAAATGGAACAGACAGAAGTAATATGTAGCTATCGCTGAATCGGTGGGGGGAGAAAACAAAGTATGGCACAGTGACTGATGCGTCTTCCAAATTATATCGTAGAGGCCAAACACATTTTCGTTAATTATTATTATATTATAAATACCAAAAATATTTTCTTATAAAATTATAATTTTTATAAAAGACCGAAATAATCCATGCATTTTCGACTTTGATTAGCTCGATATTGATTTTTAATGTTATTATTTCCTTTCTATTTATTTTATATTTCAACGGCTTAAATTAAGATATTACAAGATGATGTGTAAAATATTTTATAATTTTTGTATTAAACTTCCTCGATGTTTTTAAAATTTATATCTCAGAATATGTATAATTGATTCGTTGCAATTTATTTTTTTTAGAAAAAAAAAGTAATATATTACTCGAAATGAAACGAAAAGGTTATTTCAAAATTTAGATTAAAACAAGAAAGCAAACAGACGGAAGTTACAACACGCGCCACATTTTTTAGGCTCACGAGAAATAGCCATAACGTGTGGACTAAGTCCAGACAGGGCGGTGGTGTCCACGCGCTACATGCGCGAATGAGATTGGTTCCAAGTATTATTGGACCATACAAGATGCCACGTCAGACATATATTACATGAGAGATTAATGAATTGAATGGAATAAGATTTTGGAGTTTTTAAAATTTAAAAACCAAAACAATTAATAATCAAGTTTTTGTAGAATTGGTTTTCGTAAAAATTTGGAAAACCACTTTAATGATAAAAATACACTAAAAACTAAAAAATACCATTTTTTTAGATTTCTAAAAACCAAAATCAAAATCCAAAAATAAAAAAAAAACTAAAAACTAAAATAAAAAAAATTAAAGCCAAAAATGCAAAATAAAAACTATATCCATTCAAGGTCTAAGAGGTCTAACAAAATCCCATTAAGCTCCGTAATAAGTCTATATTTTTATTTTCCCCTATAAATCTAACTTCCATCGTTTAAAAATAAAATAAAAACCTAAAATATTTTATGTCATATTATTTTTTCTCTCACTTATAATATAGTGATTCTCAATAATATATATATATATATATATATATATTGGTTGAATTCTCAATAATATATTTTACTTCTAGTATCACATTTGTATTTGGCTTTTACGTGCATGGAACATGCGCCACTAGAAATCGATGTCGTTTATATTTATTATATTGACTAACGGCTTTAATTAACTAAACCGTACCATTCACGTTTCTTATTCAAAATATTTTTAATTAAATAATATATGTTCGATTTAATGAAGATTTGCGTACCTAACCACACACGTTAATGAAGATTACAAAACAAACAAACAAACGGGTATACCTAACCAACATGTTTTGTATGGATAATTCCCATTGTTATTATCATTAAGATATACGTTATCATGTCTATATTGACACACATATATATATATATATATATATATATATCAAGAGTATATAAATTTAAACATTTTACAAAGCCTTTTAACAATTTTTTTTTAAAACATTTTATCATCAATATGTTGAAGATTAAATTTCAGCCGGTTATTGAAAAATGAAGCGAATACTATGTCGTTTACCATAAAACTAAAAAAAATCACGTCAATTGTATATGAGGCCAAGCTATACTATTTAAATCAATAATATAATATAATATATCCGAGTGGGGCAGCCTAGTGGTTGAGCAGCACAAAATGCTCCCAAACCATCCAGGTTCGAATTCCGTCGGACCAAAAAAAAATATAATATAATATAATCATCAACTGTTAAAATTCACACAAGAAATTTGATAACGTCAAGTACTAGTTGACAAGTTTAGGCATTAGATTTAGAGATTAATTTGAATGTCTCATAGATTTTCTTATTTTAATATATATCTCATATTTTAATTTCGGCACCTGAATGAACCCATGGAGTATCTATAGTATTGGACCCCGATTTTTATAAGTAAAATTAAAGATACAATAATTTGCAATAAATATCAGAGTATTTTAATATATAATTAAAAAAAACTAAAACTAAACTCGTAATTTTTAATAATTTTGAAACATGTTTCTATAGTTCTATAGGCATGAATCCGTGAATAATGCGTTGCATGTATATTATTATCCGAACTAATCCTATACATTAGAGATATAATTTTAGAGTTTGATTAATTTCGTCCACCCACGTCAATGGAATTGGGTCGACCGAGATACTTAGACCGTTAGACGTGTGGAAATCGTACATGGAAAGAAGATGTCGCAATCGGTCCGGTCCAATTGTGTCGTTATTCCAAACCGGTCTACCGTATTAAATCGACACGACACACTCGGAGACCCGGAAAAAAAATTTATAAAATAATCTAAAAAGGCAAGCTCTTACAAAAAAAAAAATGTACAAATCTAAGACATACACCCATGAACGATGTGATGGTAGGGAGGTTTCCGTTGGCATCATCGTCGTCATCAACCACATCTCCTCCCTTCACGTTCACATTAGAAAAAAAATTTATCAGTAATTAATTATTATGAACTTATATATTTTTTATTATAAAAAATGTACTAAAAAATCAACAACAATCATCATCATATATTCCAAATATCTCTCGATTAATTGATATGAACAATTAAACAGAAGAAAAAGATGAAGATTGAACAGAAATTATATGAAAAATGCAAGGTTTAAACTTTATTTAAATATTATGTTATGTGCTAAGCAACTAATACAAAATAAATTGATATTTTTTTATAATTAGAAAATTTATCGAATTTTTGATCCAATTATATCTCTCAAAGGATCGAAGAAGTTCAAGTGAATATCTATTCATGACTAGGGTGGCAGAATGGTAAGGTGAGAAGGGACAAAGTACTCTCACCCGGATTTGAACCACCTGGACAAACTTTATAAAAAAAATATATCCCTTCAGACGTTTGGATTTAAATATGGAATAAAAACATATTTTTGGCACTTTTATCTGAAATATTATTATTTTAGTAATTTGATTTGGAGGATTGGGTTCAGACCTCATAAATACTGTCCGATTTCCATTAATTGTTTTCATTTAATTCATTTTAAATTCATTTACGCTGCTGTTTGTTTTTTTTAACGATAAAGGAACATATTCCATTTTTCTGCGAATTTTTCCCCCTCACCATATGTAACAAGAGTCGGACTGTCAATAATGATAATTAACAGGGTCATCTCAAAGTTATGGGAGACCTTGTTCAATATATGTAAAGGATTTATATATATATATATATATATATTTATATATTTATAAATTAAAATTAACTTATTTTATAATTTTTTTATTGAAATATTCTTATACACTAATAATATAAAAATTCAAATTAACTTTGTTTATAATTTTTTTGATTCAAATATTCTTATATAATAATTTGTTTAATGTTTTTCTAAAATATATATTGATTAAAAATTATTTATATTTGTTATCAAATTATATTTTTATTCTGTTTCAAATTTTTCAAAAATTTAAGATTACTATAAAATAAAACAAATCTACCGTAATTTAATCAGATTTAAAGTTTTTTATATTTTTTTTACAATGAATTTTATCTTTTTATTTAAAACTCATATAATTATCAAATTTAACAAATAATTTTTTTGAAAAAAATGAAACCCTAGAAAATTGAAAACTCTGTACCATGACACCACTTGCACACCCTATCACCAATATCATATTATTCTCTTTATTATATGAAACAAATATATATATATATATCCATAGGACATTATTGTACAACTCATAAAAACTTGTATATGCAAAAAAATAAAAAAATAAATACATGTATCTTCAACAGATACACCACAGAGAACAATTACATCAACAAGTGTTAGTAGTGCACTTCGATTTATTGTGTATGTGTATATATTTTACGACCAAGAAAGAAGCTCAGTGAACGTGACGAGTGATCAAACCTTGGAATATAAGGTAAAGATCCTGGTTTTCCTGTCCGAGAATCTCTTCGGCCTTGAGACGCGTCTCCTGAAAATTTCAGCAGAGCAAGAAAATATCGAATGTGAAGAACCCGAAAAACTCGTGTGAGGAGAGGAGATTGAGAAGCGTTTGCGTTACTTCTCGGGTTTGTTTGTGGGCATTGAATTCCTTCACATTGGCCATGAATGCACCGAACTGCTCATACGGCAGACGACTCCTTCTCAAAGGAACAAAGATAGAAGAATCTGATCAGAAATGGCCGATGCAAGAAGGTATAAGATACGGAAGTTCAGTGACACTACAGAGTTTTGCATTCAAGTTTACTTGCCAGAGAGATCAAGAACAAAGATAATAGGATTAAGAATGGCGTTGGAAGCAAAATCAAGCGGAATGCAAGAACTGTAGAGTGATAAAAGTAGAAAATGACATTGAAGATGCGGGAAATGCACGATATGATGATGTAATGGCACGATTCATAGGCGAAATTATGCAAGAATTGGTTAAAACATTCTAAGATTTGAGCTTAGAGTTCTACCTGACTTGACGGAAGAATTCTTTTCCATCAACCCGAGTTCGCCCTAAAGGCAGGTAAATTTCAGATAGCCATGTTAATAACACTGTGGAGAACACTTACACAGAAACAGATAAGGATTAAATGAAAGGGATAGGATTCTGAATAACGACATAATTCCAGAGCGAAATCAAGGAGAAGAGAGACACGAGGCAAGAAAATGTATGACTTTCCCGGTGAATTGGTTTTTGGAAGTGATTACCCGTGTAGGAACCAGCTTCTGAAAATGAAGATCTATCATCAAACATGCCTCTCGAGGTAGAGAATGACATCGCATGACGTTTTGGAGATGTTCTAGTTGGGGAAGCAGAAGCTGACAAGATCGGTGGAGATCCCGGAGGAGTAAGCCGAGGTGTACTACTTCTCTGGGATACTAACGGGAAGCTGGGTTTAGATGCTGAAAGACGAACAGTGAAATTGAGCCGTGTTCTTGTGGACTGGAGAGTGAAAAGTTTGGTGCTTTTTAAATTACCATCAGTCTCGTTGTCATTTGAAGATGATTCAACGGCTTCAGAAGCGTGAGAACGGATTGAAGAATGTCCTGAAGGAAGCAGTGGAGATTCATCATCTGAAATCCAAAAAGTGGTCTGCTTAAGCTTTGAATGCGAGACACAGAAATGTGGAATGAATCATCTAGTTATAAATTCCAGGTTATCGAGCACTGCATGCTAACAATAAAGAAATGAAGCATTTTGTCACACCATTGCCTAGCTCCCGGAATTCGTAAGAGGGAGAAACAATCTTCAGTAAAACAGAGCAACTCCATAGCCAAGACATGACTTGATAAACTCAAAACTCATGAAACAGAGCAGAATTATACCATTTGGGGTTGGTTTGGCAATGATTTGTGTAGCTCCTGCCTGTTAAAAGCCCAAACGAAAACATGAAAACTTAATAGGATAGTCCCTGAATGGAAATATGAGACATTTCCAACTGAAGGAGGCAGTGGAAAGAGTAGCTTCATACATTTTCTTCATCCTCTCGGATAGACTGCATAAGCGTCTTTCTGAAAACCTCGAGCTGCACCAATATGTGAACTCCTTAGACTTTTACCACTCACTCATATATTGAATCATCTACTCAGTTTAACACCTTTCTATGCCAAACGGTCGTCACTTGTTCCACACGGCTTTCATAGAACTATTAAGCAAGCTTCGAACTTTATCATCAAGTTCATAGTCAATAAAAAAGAGCACTTCAGAAGACTGAAACCAGTTCCTCTAAGCATGCCCATATGCATATATACTTATATATATGCACACATATACATACATTTGCGTGTACATCTTTACATGTATAAGCCAAAGAAACCGACTTTAGCTGATACTAATAGTTAAACTTACTCATACAGCTTGTAAATTTAAACCTCAAGTTTCAATTGCGTACATTACAGTTCTATCGCATTTCCAGATAGGAACCCAGGAATCCAAAATGTGCCAGTTTTGATAAACGTGTGTGTGTGTATATATATATATATATATATACAGGTACATATACGGACATGCGTAGGATGGCATTTCAGCTTCAATTTTGCTGAAATGGCTCTTAAAACCTAAAATTAGAAAGGAAGACGCATTAAGTCAAACCCAAGGAAGAAATTACCTTCGATACATCTCTTTGGAGTTTCCTCACGGTATTAGATAACGAAGCGTTCTCTCTCAGCAAACTCTCCTGCAATGGAAGGCCAACAAAAAAAAAATCAAATTCTGAGATGAGGGTTTGACTCGTCGGGGAAGACAACAAACCGGGTCGGACCTTTTCTCGGTCGGCCCGAGAGAGATTCTCGAAGGCGTCGGAGAGAGAAGATTCGAGCGACTCGGCCTGAGACTGAAGCTCGGCTATTGCTCTGTCTCTCTCGGCGAGCTTTTCCCGGAGATCCGTCGACTCTGACTCGAGGGACGAGACACGTGTCGAAAGGGCAATGGACGTGATCTTGCGGGCCACGTCGAGCTGCTCGAACGGATCGGACGGTAGGATTTGCAGCACTTCCTCGGGAAGATCGAAAGTTGTCGAACCCTTAACCGCACTCGATTCTTCTTCTCCATTCTCCGACATTCTCGGGTTATTTTTGTTTTCCCTTTCCTTTTGTTTTATCGTTTTTTTTCTTATTATTATGAGTTCGGTATAAGCCGGTTAACGGATTTCTTCTTCTTAACCAAAGATTGGATCAAACCGAAAACTTCTCCTATCATATTGCTGCTGTTAATCTTATCGTTTTGATCCGGTATTGGTGGTTTTGGTCCGGTTTAAGTACGTTGGTTGAATTGGTACACGTCAACTCTGAACCAAGAAGAAGCTCATGCTTTCCTTAAATAATCTCCAGTAAATCTTTTGAAGCCAAATTCATTGTTCACTTGCCAAAAATGTATGAAGGGAAAGCAAAACACTTTGTATTGGCATTCTAGGGTTCATGTAATATATATATGTGATCAGAGGAAGAAGAACAAACAAAATCTCATCCTATAATAATAATTAATAAACTAAGTTTCCCTTAAAGCACAAGTCCCTTAGTTTCCATGTAACTCTTCCATCTCAGTGCCTCTTTTATCATGGTGGCGATTTTCCGCTTCATTCTCAGTTTAGCTCGACCAGAACCACCATCTGTTACAACTACATCGACCTTGATTATATGGTGATCAGAGCTACCTTTGGAAGAAACGACAGAGTATGAGCCGGGTACGAATTCATAGGGTGAATCTTGCGAAGCCAGTATGTAATCGACCCGAGTCCCGTACTTGCATGTTCCTTGTACATCTGCATCCAAACATTGTGTTCATCATCATCATCATCAGCAAAGACCGAGCTGGAAGAACAGATTTTACTCACTTTGGCCTTTGGCAATGATGACCACCGGCTCAAACACTCCTGCAAACTCTTTTGCATCTGAATATGCTCCTTCTCCCTTGAGAAATCTCATCAAGTCATCTCTTGGTGTAGGCTTTCCAATGTCCTCATAATACTGGCACCCATCACAGTACCAACCCACCTTATCATAATATTCAAGCAAGCTCTACAGTCCCATGAAATGGATTGGATCATGAAACAACATAGATTGTGAAGGAACAACATGCTAATAACTATGTTACCATTCATGACTAGCAATATATATAAACACACGCCCACACACTTTGGAGTTGAAATTTGTCAGTTACCTTTACAATGTGATTCCATCTTTCAGCGGAATAGTCTGAGACGTCGAGAGAATTCAAGCCTCCCAACAAGATGTGAGGGGACTTGTCTCCTCGAGTAACCTCGTCTATCTGTTTCATTCTCCAGTTCTCGTCCAGATGGTCGAGCTGGGTACAATACACGTTCACTTCTCCAGCCCATGGGACTTCTATGGTTGCCTTCAACACATTCCTGTACAAATACCATCAGAGACAACACAACCCATGAATTTACTTATTGGTCAAGACTGAAGATCAAAACTTTCCAATTTGATCCTTCCACTTCTGTTAACAGTCAAGTGGAAATAAGATTAATGTAAGACGAGAAAAAAAAAGATTGGTCACCTGAAATCATCCTCATCGGCGATTCTCTGAGCTCTCCACTTCTTTATGGGCCATTTTGACAGAATGGCGTTACCGTACTCCGGTGCCCAGCTTTCTGCAAAGGCATAGTTCATACCTAAGGCAGACGCCAAATCAGACAGCGGCTTCATACCTTTCTCTTCCTCTGCCTTCACGTCCTGCAACGCTAATATGTCTGCATCCACCTCTCCCAACAACTCAGCCATGCTTCTTCTGCTGCTGATGCCATTGAAGCTCTCCTGGTCCCACCAGCTCAGAGGAAGGCACACAGGAGATCTCATTGAGATATTTCCTCTGTCCTTATCACGCTCCACTAAACTCAGAAAACTGTAGTTCTGCGCTAAGGAAATCTCATTGTCTGGAAGATTGATGCAGACTTTTGGCTTCTTCCCCGTTGAAGAATGTAATGGAGACTGCTTAAGTATCCCTTTTCGAGCGGGGCTTGTGATGTTGGCATTTTGAGAGCCAAGTACGGAAGATCCATCCGTGCTTTGTGTGACGGGTGCAAGTGAGAACATTGCAACGTTAAACGTGGCAACCCGGACAGGTTTTCTGGAGTATGAGCTCAGATGGATAGAAGAAATCTCGGTTTCCGAGCATTCCTTTCTCCGAGCTCTCCGCCTTGCCTTCCTGAGACTCTTGACGATAACTTTAGCCCTCAGCCGTTTTCTGATTAGCCATTGAAACCTTGAACACAGAGACCGGAGGTTCCTTTTAAGATCACACAGCATGTTAGCTCTTTGTTTCTCACTGAAAATCAATGAGATACAAACTTCCAGACCAGAGGCTGCAAATTAGCAATATGAAGCCAAAAGTCAACACGAGTAGAATAATACATAAAGAAACTGTTCAAGACAAACGAAGATTACCAGTGAGAACTTGACAGAATCCTGAGGAAACAAACAAAGATTTACAGGTGAAAGAAAGAGGAGGTCTCTACATTAAAAGTATTTATTAGGAGAAGCCATGATCCTAACTGCTCCAAATTGGTGAAGAATGGATAAGCTAACAATTCCGTTGAGCGTCTCATTCCAAAATGTCAAACTCCAGCAACCTGCTACCAATCAGAACCAGAGCTCACAGCAGAAAGCAACCAAAGCCTTACCTGTTCTTCATCCTTGTGAAGAAAACTCCCAAGTAGGTTTAACAGAGAACTGACAAAATTTGTACCACTAGACTTCCATGGAACTATATCTGTATCGCAATTATAGACTTATATGTTGGAATAATACATATTATATATTACATAAACGCGCAGATTCACAAGATTTTAGTTGACTTTATCAAACTAATTACCAAATCTAGTGTCAGCATGTGTTTGGCTTGGCTCTGGCACGTTCCTGAATGATTTAGGCTGCTAACATAAGAAAAAAACTGTGCTATTTTCTATATTAAATTTTCTACATTCCTTTTTCTGTAGACTTAGAGAAAAAATACAATAAAAAAATGAGGAGTGGAAAATAAGATCAAATTACCTTTATGATGATTCTGTAAGACTATCCAGACATGATATACATAAATGCACCTAGGCAATACATAAACTAGATGCCCATGAACATGCATTGGTCATTATCATGACTCTAGAACTGAAGTTGAAAAACAGACAACCAAGTCAAAATCCAAATCCTCAGTACAAGGTTATGGATGCCAATCTGCACTTTAGGACTTTAAAATGGAACCTCTTATCAATGCTACTCCTTAGATTTTTCATGTTTTACTTGCTGTCATCTCTGACTATTGTATCTTTGTACGAAGACAACCATGTTCTCCATATCCAATCTTTCCTTTGCCGCCCCATGCTTTCTCTGCAGGTTATGTGCATCCTATAGAAACACAAAAGCTGTGGATCCAAATATTCATTTCTGTACAGAAAATAAACGGCAGAAGAGAAATGATAGCGTGATCATATCGAACAGAACAATAAATCTTGTGTTTGGAAGACTCAAGATAGAATAACTTTCATTGTTACAGCTACCCTTACACACCATCCGAATTCCTAGAGTAGAGTTACTCAATAGTTGGAGAACTTGTGCAAAACAAAAATTGCAAGCTTGTGTATAACTCAGATCAGGTAAAGCTGGATATTATGAACTACTTAAAGACTAATTTCTGGACCCTCAAGAATGAACAAGCACCTAAGCAGCTAACCCACGTAAAAGATATCTTGAAGGGGCAGTTGCTGGCTCAACCATGCCTTCTTTTTTTTGTCGTGAAAGCTACTCGTCAATGAACAAACCGTTAAGAAGGTCAGAAGAAGATGAATGCTCATTCCCATTATCATCAAAAAACCCGATTAAAGCACTTTCTTTCCTGGACTTTCGCTCTTCAATGATGGATTCTTCTGTTTCAGCACAGAAATTACGTCTGCCTTGTCTTACGGGCTTATCAGCCACTACAAATTTGCTTCCATCACGAACTCGTTCAGAGAATCCAGCCCAAACTGTAAGAAGATAATGTTCCTAGGTGTTAAGGCAGCTTGTAACAGATGGGATAACAGACAAGAGATGACAAATTATTAAGTAAAGACAGAAAAGTTGAGCAGAAAACAAATTAGGTACAAGCAAAGCAAACTACAATAAGAGCAAGACAAAAACTAGAATGCACTGATCTTGTAGAAGATTTTAGTTATAGCATCGAGCTTCATTAAGTAAGATAGCCTAAAATAGTCGCAGTGAGGAATGATAATGCCAAACTGATGACAATAAGCATAACATGACGGAGCCAATCGAAGAAGCAATATCGAAAAGATTTTACCAATGATGAAAGAAAAGATCACATATTTATCCCAGTAAGTGAAAGTTTCTTTCAATCTAAAATCAACACCAAGAATCACACAACAATGGGAAAACAGAGGAACAAATCCAAATATACCTCCAAAGTGATGCAAAACAATAGAAGCTGCAACTGTAACATTCAAAGAGGCAGTGCCACAGCCATATTGGGGAATATATACGAAGAAATCGCATATTTCACATTCCTTAGAGGACAGCCCTGTTCCCTACAAAAGCACAAAAGTCCTTCATCATGACTTGGAAACAATTTTTTGTAATCTGTACCCTCTTCTCTAATTATTCACAAGTGAACAGAGACAGCGATTGTAATCGAGAATTGGAATCTAATATTCCCGTACACTATTTTTCCATGCAAGAGGAAAGATTCAGAAATTGAATTTCACTAATTGAGCTTAATGTTGCATAAATTGGCAACATAACTGAGCTAGCAGAGTTGCTCAATTCTTACATATTAGCAAAGCAAGTTCTTATGAACCAAATTCAAATATCCTAACCTCATTGCCCAGAAGAAAAGCTGTGTTCCTCTTGAATGGATGCTCGTTGACGGCAACAGCTCCTTCTGTAATCTCGACGCCACAGATATCGCAATCTTTCTCCTTAAGTAATCCAGAAAACAGAAAGAAAGATACTTTTTCAAACCCAATACAATTTAGCCGAAAAAATGAACATTAACGAAGCAGATTCGCAGAATCTCAACGAAATCAGATGCAATTGGGTTGTGTATGCATGGATTGAGCGACGGCATAGAGAGGCAGATGAAGAGAGAGAGAGAGAGAGAGAGGAAGACCTGGAGGAAGGCGCGAGCATCGAGGAGTGAGTGAAAATGGCGGAAGCGAACGTGAGAGGAGGATCCATGGCTGCCGAAGGCGTTGAAGTCCCGACGACCGACGAGGATCAGCTCCGTTACGCCAAACGCCGTCGCGCTCCGAGCAAGTGTTCCGACGTTGTGCCGCTTCGCAATGTTATGAACCACAACGTAGCTCTCGAATCCCACCATCTTCTTCTTCTTCTTCTTCTGAACTCTACTCTGCAGTCAGGGACGGTTGATGCGAGGGTTTTTGGGCAGAATAGAATAGCAGACCTAAACCACAACCAACCGGTTCAACCGTGCCAAATCCAAACCGGTTTACAACGAACCACAATTGACAAATCGGATTTTCCTATCGGATTTTCCAAGGAATGGAATTCCTAAACCCCCTTCGCTGTTTCTTCTACCTCCTCTCCTCCCAAAAACCCAGAAAGTCATCTCCTTTTCGTCAATGACCCTCTGTCTCTGTATCAGAGCTTCGAGGGCTTTCTCTATTTCCGCTGCTAATCTCCCGAAAGTACGATTTTTCTTTCCCTTCTCCACTCTCCATAATTGCCCTTCTTCCCCCTCGCCCTCCTCCTCTTGCTCTGATTCCTATTTCGCTCATCTCATTTTGAGCTCGTTCCGACACAAATCCTTACCTTTTTCCGACCACTTGTGGTCTCCCAATCAGTTTCGCCGCCTCCTCAATGATCCGTATACGCTTATCAGAGTCCTCAACATGATTCGTGATAACCCGAGAATCGCTTTTCGCTTCTTTCGCTGGATCCAGAGGCAGCCAGATGTCAAACAGTCTCTCACCACCTTCCACTTGATGCTCGAGGTCCTCGCGGAGAATAATTTGATGAGGTCCGCGTTCTGGGTGGCCGAGAGGCTCGTTGATATTGGTATGAACGGAATTGTTGATTTTTTGATTGATGGGCATTCAAATAGGCAGATTGCCCTCAAGCTTTTGGATCTCTTATTGTGGGTATATACTAAGAAATCTATGGTTGAGCAGTGTTTATCGAGTTTTAACAAGATGGTGAGGAAGGGCTTCTTGCCTGACGTCAAAAACTGTAACAGGATTCTTAGGATTCTAAGGGATCAAGGGATGAAGGATAAATCCAGGGAGGTCTATCAAATTATGGTCGAGCATGGCGTTAAGCCGACAATTATCACCTATAACATTATGTTAGATACTTTCTGTAAGGCTGGAGAAATGCATCGAGTCCACCAAATGCAATTGGAGATGCAAGACAGAGGATGTCTCCCTAATGACGTGACTTACAATGTGTTGATCAATGGCTATTCCAAGAAAGGCGACCTTGAGAAGGCCAGAGCGTATAAAGAGCAGATGCTACAGTCTGGCTTGCCGGTTTCATCTTATTCATATAACCCTCTGATATATGGATATTACAAGCAAGACTTGCTTGCTGATGCATTGAGCGTTAGAGTTGAAATGGTAAACGAGGGTGTTTCTCCGTCTGTGTGCAAGTATAATATATGTATGCTTGTCCTCTGCAAATATGGAAGAGTAGCTGATGCCAGGCAATTGTTGTTGGAAATGGTAAACATGAATTTAGAACCAGACATCATTTCGTATAACACTCTGATACATGGGTACAGCAGGATCGGGAACATGGGAGAGGCCTTTATCTTGTTTGATGAGTTGAGGGTCAGGAATATATGCCCCACTGTTATCACCTATAATACTCTAATAGACGGTCTTTGTAGGTCAGGAGACTTAAAAGTTGCCCAACAGCTGAAAGAAGCAATGACCAGACGAGGGATTCTTCCCGATGTTGTGACATACACGATTCTTGTTAACGGGTTTTGTAAGAATGGGAATCTTTCCATGGCTGCATCATGTTATGATGAGATGCAAAGGAGAGGGATTAAAGTGGATAGGTATGCATACACAACAAGGATTGTGGGTGAACTGAAATTGGGTGACTCAGTTAAAGCGTTTTGTTTACATGAAGAGATGCTGGCAAAGGGATTCCCTCCAGATCTGATCATCTATAATGTGCATGTTCATGGACTCTGTAAGGTGGAGAATCTGGAAGAAGCAACTGAGGTTGCACGTAGGATGGCGAGAGAAGGCCTTGACCCAGATCACATTACTTATACCACTCTTATCCATGCTTGCTTGGAGAAAGGGCATTTTAAGTCAGCCAGAGTGTTGTACTCTGAAATGCTGACGAGGGGCATCTCTCCTTCCGTGGTCACATACACTGTCCTAATTCATGCTTATGCGGCAAGGGGAAGGATAGAACAAGCCTTGTCATTTTTCCGGGCAATGCAAGAGCAGAGAGTCCGTCCGAATGTGATAACATACAATGCTCTGTTAAATGGTCTACGCAAAGCTAGGCAGATAGATTTGGCATACAAGTTTTTCTCCGAAATGGAAGAAATGGGGATATTACCCAACAAGTACAGCTACACAATTCTAATAGACAAGAACTGTGAGCTTGAGAATTGGGAAGAGGCTGTAAAATTGTACAAAGAGATGCTAGATAGAGGGATTCAGCCAGACCATTGCACTTATAGTTCCCTCTTCAAACGGTTAGACACAGATCATATGTCACGTGAGCTTCAGTTCTTGAGAAGCTTATTACTCAGCTGACGAGGAACCCAGACGATGATGACCTGAGAGGCTTTTTGCTGTGTCAGAGTTCTTCCTAGATTGTGTGGTTAATTTTACAATCACTATGCACAGTGCGGTTTATCGCTCAGCTGGTTAGTTTCTTCTCTGTGATTTCTCGAGTTTTCTGCATAAAAGATGCATCCTTTCAGTTTGTTAGATTTTAATGCAGGTATTGTTTCTACCGACTTGTGCAGGGAAAAGATACTCTTGAGCTATGGCAAGCATCAACGCGAGCGTTTGGAAATAATAGGGCACCTTTGCTTGCTTGAATCCATTCAAAATGGATAGATAGATGTATGGGTGAGTGAAGGTATTAGAGAGCAGATGAAAGAGAGAATGGGAATAAATGAGAAACATTAGGGTATAGCAACATTGCAACGAACTTCACACCATGAAATAGAAGGGAAAGTGTTTTTTTTTTCTATTCATTGAAATATTTTTTGAGGGGAACTTCTTCGTCTTGGGGTCATTGATTTAGCCGCAGGAATGTGTATTGATGTTATTGTTTCGATTGAGGGGAAAGCCAAAATAAAAGATAAAAGTCTTCTTTTTTCAATGGACAATTTGTAGTCTCTGGTTTGAAGAAATCAAGTTTCAGAACAGTAGTACTACTGGTGATAGTTTCAGCTGAATCTTCTAATAAAACTGGTGTATGCCCTGCTCAATTGGGTACACAAAGTAGCAGGCCACAGCTTTGGAAGTGGATGGAGACGAGAACAGAGCATGTCATCCCGATATTTCTGAGCTTCCAAAATCGGCTCTGGAAGGTAAAGCCTCGCACGAAATTCAAGTTTCTGTTGCCTCTCGAGGGATACAGATCGAAGCAACGTGTTTTCGATTAATGATGTCTGTTTTCCTTCTGTTCCATTGGCAAAACATGTCTGGTTCTTGTCTGGTGGGGCTTATGAACTCAAATTTTTCGGGCTGAATCCTTTTTTTTGTCAGGACATGTTTCAGGTGCTTTGGTTGAAGCAAAGGGCATGATTAAGGAGGACGGATATCCAATCAAGAATCTGTTGATGTCTGAATCTTGTGGATGTTATGGAATACCCGAAATGATTCTCTAATCTCTATTCAAGCTCGAGTTTTTCGGCATCTGAAGTATAACTGAAGTGCAAAGTCTGATGCTGGAGAATGGAGGGTGAATGATAATATGATGCAGGCTGCTGCAGTGCCATCTTGAAGCTTAGGGTTTCTCAGGTAACATTTTGTGCCCATTTCATATTTAAGTAAAGTCTCTACACAATTCAGAAAGTGTAGCACTAACATAGAAAAGAACAGATCAGAGTTCATGTAAAAGCTTGGATCGCAAGATCAGTCGGAAAAAGATTTGGTCCGATTCGGGTTTTTGGGCTCTGAGTTTTAAAGATGTTCCATAGTTTCATTACACGACGAGATGAAAGACGAGTTCTTGTGTTCCTTGTCTGATTCCAAGAAGATTCTTGCTTTAAAGTTTCTTCCTTTCGAATCGATCACCTGGAATTTATCCGAAAGGAATCATCTTTCCTTATTCCCTTCCTCACGATATGGAACATAAAAAATAATTTAATTTTCACCCCACGTTCTACATCATTTTACAATTTGACCCCGAGAACCCCCCCCCCCCCCAAGACAAAA